CTCCTCTCCTCTTCTCCTCTCCTCCTCTCCTCCTCTCTTCCTCTTCTCCTTTCTCCTCCCCTCTCTTCCTCTCTCTCTCTCTGGCAACCTTCATGAGCCCCTGATGGAGCCAGCTGTATTATTTGTAAAACATAGAACAAAATGAAAAGTATGGGACTCCAAATTGTTTAAAATTACTATGAAGGGAAATGAGGTATAGGCTTTCCCTTTGATGCTGCCTTTTTTCCTGTGTTCCTGAATCACAATCTGGTTTTTTTTTTTTTTTTTTCCTTTGGAACCGGGGTTTGAACTCAGGCCCTTGCACTTGCCAGGGAAGTGCTTATTCTACTGAGCCATGGGCCCGGCCCACAACAATCTGTTTTTTTTCTTTCAGTGCCCTTGTTAGGTTCTGCTTCTCTGACCTAGCACGCCCCTTTGTCTGTCCTGTCCATGGCAGACTTGGCATCATGCAGGGGTGCAGTCTCTGTGCCAGGTGAACTGGCAGCGGGGTCAGAGGTGCAGCAGTCTCACCCCGGCCCCACTGCACATGTCCGCTGCTGGAGTACACATCTGGGATGGTGATGGTCACGAATGCCCCTCCCTGAGATGCTGTCTGTCTGGTCAGAGACACCTGTGGTGACTGTTGCCAGGTGGGGAAAGGGTAGAGGAGGAGGACCAGGGCCAGGGCCAGGCACAGGCCAGGCCAGCCTGGACCCAGACCCATCCCCAGGGAATGTCGGGGACAAGACACCCCATCGTCCACTCAGGCATCAAACCCAACATGTATGGAAGGTTGAGACTTCAGAGTGACAGACCCCAGAGCATAAATCTCGATCACGGGGCCTTTCTGCGAGTGTGAGGTATCTGGCTGTCCTGTGCCCTGCTTAGTATGGAGGAATAGAGACACAGGCAGTCACTGCACCGGCAATGAGGTACCTCATCCCATAAGGGCAGTGCGGCAGCCTGCGAAGGTGAGAAGTGACCAACCGTAGTGCACGTGTGGAGTCTCATCCAGGCCTAGACAGGAATGGTGCTCGGAGACAGGCTGCAGCGTGTGTAGACCCAGATATTATGCCAGACACAGAAGGACAGGGGTGTGTGTGTGTGTGTGTGTGTGTGTTAGGGTGTATATGGTACTGGGGATTTAAGGGCCTTCATGCTGAGTTACATACTTAGTCCTTTTTATTTTTATATTTTAAAATGGTTAGTTATTATGTTGTGATGCTAGCAGTTGAATCCAAGGCCTTTGCACGGAGCTACATCCCCACTCTGTTTTTGTTTTGAGACAGGCTCTTATTAAATTGGTAAGGTGCCCAGGATGGGCTTGAATTTGTAATCCTCCTGCCTCAGCCTCCCAGAGTGCTAGGATTACAGGCTTGTCACCTGCCTGGCTGGACAGGTACTATATGAGATCACTTCTGAGTAGGCAGCTCTCAGAGACGGACAGTGTATGAGTAGTGGCCAGGGGCAGGCAGGGCATGCAGGTGGGTGGGGTGAGGCGTGCGGGGGGTCCTCTGATGGAGCGCAGCGTTCTGCAGTGAGCGGTGGTGGTGGTTGCACAGCTTTGGGAATTACATGAAGTCACTGAATTGCATTATTGGAAATGGTGGATTTTATGGTAAGCTAATCACTTCAAAAGTCTATTAGAGAGGGCCGGGGAGGTAGCTCAGTGGAATAAGCACCTGCCTGGAAGTGCAAGGTCCTGAGTTCGATCCCAAGTACAAAAAAAAAAAAAAAAAAGTCTATTAGTGAATCAAATTTGGCTTTGGAATATTGTACTAATACAGATTGATTAAAAAAGTTCATGCTCTGATGTAAAACAAGTACATTTCCTAAGCTAGAGTTATTTTTAATAATTTTTAATAATTAAAATTAACTCTTAGAAGGTAAGGCTTAAAGCAGGGTTGTTTTATTTTATTTTTTGGTGGTGGTACTGGGGATTAAACCTAGGGGTTCTGCTGCTTAGCTATATCCCCAGCTCCTTCCTACTTTTTCAGAATTTTGAGGCAGAGTTCTGTTAAGTTGCCCAGGTAGAATTTATAATCTTCCTGTCTGTCTTCCGAAAGTAGGATTACTGGTGTGTGCTATGGTGCCTTGGTGATTTTATTTGTCTTTTTGATGCTAGTGGTTGAACCAGGGGCTCACGTGCTGGGCAAACACTGAGCTATGGCCCCATCTTGAGGGACAATTCTGATAGTGTTCTCGGGCTGAGACGATAGCTTGGTTGTCTAAGCGCCTGCCTGGGAAGTACTAGGACCCACATTCCATCCCTGGTAATGCATGCCATGCTGGCCCCGAAACGGAGCATGGTGGTGCACACCTGTAATCCCAGTGCTGTGGAGGCTGAGACAGGAGGATCACTGGGAGTCGGAGCTGCATAATTGGTAGTAAAAACTAGAAACATTTTTAATAGTGTGTGTTTATTTTTCATCAGAAAATGAATAAAGAAATGACCGAAATTTGCAGACGTCTACGAGGAAGATAGGCAGCATCAGAATGCTGGACTGATGCTGAGTGATTTTGAGGGAAGGTTTGGTCAGGGCCGGTGGATACAGTGTCTGTGCTGTGGATTCGGGCTTAACGCCTGTGTTAGAAGCACAGGAGGCCAGCAGCCTGCAGTCGGAGGAGAGTGAGCCTCCTGGGTGGTCAGCCCCGGAAGACCGTGTTTAGTGCAGAAACAAGCAGCCTGCCATCCTCTTGGGAATTCTAAACTCTGACATTTGTGTCCCTATAAGTCGAGGGAGTGCTTTGAGGCTTTATCCCCAGCCTGTGGTGTAGTTACCACTACTCTGAGGAGCTTACAGCAGATGAAAAACATAGAGTCGTAAGTTTTGGGGCTTCTGCCTCATCTATCTCCTCGGCTTCTTGTTTAGTAGAATGAGCTATTTTAAATGTTCTCTTCTGTCATCTCTGCACCGATGAGCACAGTGTCATGGTGTGGGTGTTCAGTAAATATTATCTGATGACAAATCCTTATTTTTTTCAGTTAACATTAGTCAGATTCCCAAAAATAAGTATAGGGTGCCTGTTGTTTATTCCTTTTTACAACTTTAAATATCAAGATGTCTCTTATAATTAGTTATTGTCTGGGCTGAATGTTATTTTACATGGACATTTTTGGAAATAAAAGTGCCAGTAATTGATTTCTGGGGGTGGAATAATTGGAGGTGAAAATTTTAATTACCTCTCCCTGCAGAAAGATATTTTGTGTAAGATGGAGCTTTTGATGTAGTAAGTCATTTCTATGAGGTATTTTAGATTAACGTTCATTATGCTAACAAAAACACTTGCGTGAATAGAAACAAATTGACCAGGACAAAGAAGTAAGAATCAAACAATTCTTAAGGAATCAGGTTGCATTTACGCACTCATTGATTTTTCTTTATCTTACTGCTATTTCTGAGGCTATAATTAGGTCATTCTTGATTTATTATTTGGGGTTTCCTTTTCTTTACATTCTGCTGGTTCTCAGATTGAGGCAGCTGTGGAGATTTTTTTTTCTCACCTTAAAGATACAACATGGAGTTGGTGATAGTAACTGGAGTTTCCGACCTAGTCGAGTATTCAGAGGTGGTAAGTTGGCTCCTTGTCCCATGGCGCTCACAGCAGGAGCTGCTGCCAGGGCTCCATGCAGAGCACTGAAATCCGAGTGGCAGGTGACATGCTGGTGGTGTAAGCATGGTGCACTGGAACTGCAGGCCAGGGACAGCTGTGGAGCAGTGGAACCCGGGCAGAGGGTGCAGCCTGCAGCAGCGGCGGCGGCATTGGCTTCCCGCAGGTGTCCCGGCCTCAGGGTCCACCTCCTGCACAGAGCCCTGGACGTGTTCTCAGGGATCTGGGCTCAGATCCTTCATCTGTAGACTGGAGATGGTAGTCTCTCATTCACTGGCGACTGGAATGAGAAACACAGCGTTCTGTGGCTCAGTGGAAGACAACAGGTGCGGCCAGGTAGGGAGCCGTGCTCCTTGGAAGCGTTTGTGTCTCTGACCTCACTCACCGGTGCTTCTTGTCCCTGTAGGTTAAAGCAGCCACCGGTGAGGAGGTCTCTGCTGAGGAGCTTGGAGGTGCCGATCTTCACTGCAGGTGAAACAGCAACAGTCGTTTCTCTTTAGAATTACAATTTTGCCTATTTACAGGAAGTTTTCCATTATTTTTCCCAGTGCTAAATTTGTCAGCCCAAACCACAGTGTTTACTCACCTTTTGTGATTGTGAGTTCAGTCAGGTCTTTGGACTATGGATTGTGGCTCCAAGCTGAAGCCGTCATGTTGCCATCATTTTCCATCCTAGCTGAGAGGGATGGGGGAGGCGGCTTTTCATGGGGTTAACGAACATCCCTGTGGTGTCTTTGTGTTAGAGGCAGGGTTGAGGGCCTTTTTGATGGGTTTCCTATAAGAGATACCAGAAAGGTAGTCGATAAAGACAGCTGTGCAGGAGCAGATGGGATGAACAGGGGGTCTGTTTTCCTTGTGGACTGAGGACGTAGAGGTGCCCGTGAGGCATCCAGGTGGCAAGGCTGAGCGAGCATTGACTGTGGAGGCCTCGGTGGGGCTGGCTCACCTGAGTGGAGGTGCAGGCAGAGCTGTGGGCCCAGACACGCTCTTCCCAGTGTGATTAGAGAGGAAGGCCCAGTCCTGTGTCCTAGTTGGCAAGTGCAGTAGGCCTAATCATGAGTCATTGGCCTAGGATGTGAGGCAAACTCCCCGCCCCCTTGTCTCGTGTGAAGCAGGCGGCTGGGGGAGGGGGGGGGACTCTAGTGGAAGCATGGGGGCAGCAGCATGGGCAGTAGTGGCTCCACTCCTCTGTCACCTCCCTGCCAGGCCTTTTCAGGGGCTGCTTGCAGGGCCTTGGCTCAGTGTTTCATTGGACACTTCCCACCAGCATTGTGGACGGATTGTCCCTTCCGAGTAAGACAGGAAGATGTCGGATGTGGTCTCTTGCACTGGCATTTACAATTTAATTAGGTGTAAAGCTGAATAAGTGAATGAACAACAACAACAAAAAGAAAAACAAGATAATTGTGTTCAACTTTAGGAAGAAAGGCTGGAGACAGAACAGTGAAGCTGTGCTGAGGGGCAGGTGGTGTCCACAGAAAGCCTGGGAGAGGCTGAGTGCTCCAGCATGAGCTTGCGCTCGGTGCATGGGGCCCCCTTCATCTGAACGCTCGTGGCCCTGAGGAGACCTGTAGGTGACCTGCGGCCGGGGTGGGGGTCCGTCCGAGAGCACGGGCTGCAGTAGAACAGGGCGAGTAGAGGCATAGGGCAGGGTGCGCTGGGGCCGATCAGGAAGGCGAGGAAGAGTGCAGATGAGGAATATTGAGTTTTCTGAAATTTAGGCATAAGAAAGTAAAGCTGTAGACAGTATGTTGAGTTGGGGTGTGATTCCAGAGGTGGTTTTCTGTATGCCTCACCTGTTGCCCTTGGGACTGAGGTGGGCTACCCAGGGCTCTGAAGCATGGTTTGCTCCGGTGTCAGAACACAGTTCCTATTACAAACTGAACACTCGGTATGAATATTATTGTTCATAATAACCTGTTCAAAATCATGGGATAATGATTGGGTGGAGACTGCTTTTTTTAAAAAGTCATGTAAAACTACTCACAGATTGCTTACATTCATATTTATACTTCTCTGATTAGTCACCCTGAAGAGCTAATTTGATATAAAGACTTACATATGTTTCATGAAAGAATTCCCTTTCCTGCTGTTTTGGTAAATAATAGGCAGTTTTTAGAAGAAAACATCATATTTTAAGTATGTCCCTTCCACTTCTGTTTCTTACTGAGTTATAGCATAGTGAGAAGTCAGCGGTGAGAACTGGTCTTACGTGTGAAGCACTTGCAACATCAGGGCAGTGGCCAGGGGTCGCTGTGCACACCTCTAACCCCACAGCTTGGGAGGCCGATGCAAGATGTTCACAAGTACAGGCCCGCCCGGGCAACCTAATAAGACCCTGTCTCAACACACAAAAGGGCTGGTGGTGTGGCTCAGTGGAAGAATGCTTGCCTAGCAGTGGGATACAGCATAGGCGAGGAGCGTGGTCTCACGGTCAGGAGCACCCAGTCCAGAGGTGGGAAGTGCCATGACCCGCGAGAGCCCCACCCAGGGAAGTATCTCCCAAGGGCTGGGCAGTTTCCCTGGACGAGGCCTCAAAGCCTGGAGCAAGCACCCAAGTCTTTACTCCTACAGTGACTAAAATTTCTGACCTTTGCAACCAGAATTTTCCCTTGACTTTATAGATTTCTAAAACTACTTATTTTGTCATTGTACCTCTGCGTGTGACACAACAAGGCTTGTGGCTGGGACAGAGTCATCACCAGAGAGGCTCATGCCTCACTCACTGCCCTTGAAACAACAGGAGTTCCAGGCCCTGGTCCCTCAGCCACTTGCTCGCTTCCAGCTTCCCCGTTACCCTGGGATGAGGGAAGAAAACCTTTCCGTTACCTGTGGGTGGAGGGCTCGCTGTTCTCTCAGAAAGAGGCTGTACGGTAGTTGCCGTGTCTTCAGACGCTTGGTGAGGAACAGTTTGTGCTGATAAGCGTAACATGAGAGTATGTCATCTGTGGTCGGACAGACTGCTAGACACATACATTTCTGTTCCAGGTCAGTGGGATGAACCCAGGGGCCTTGCTGAGCGACACGCGCAACCCCTTTTATTTTTTTGTTTTAAGATAGTGTCTTGTGAAATTCCTGAGTTGTCCAGATTGGACTCAAACTTGTAGTCCTCCTGCCTCGGCCTCCCAGAGTGATGAGGTCTCTGGTGTGAACCAGCCCACCAAGCTTGGAGGCACACTTAAGTGAAGCCCATCAGCAAGCCTCTGGAGCATAGCAGGAGAGCCCAGGGTGGAAAACTAGAAGGCATGGACTCTGAAGCCACTGCTACTCTACTATTCCTAGATTTCTCCCCTTGATAAAACAAGGGTACATCTCTTTGCCAGGAGCATTAGGAGGATCAAATAAAATGACATTTATTAAACTGTCTTGGAAATAATAGAGTTCCTTCTCATCCTTAGTAAGAGAAGGATTTGGGGTGTAGATGTTTAATTCCTTTCCTTCCCCCTGTGCGGAGTATTCCACTGTGTTCTGTAGGAAGTCTGGAGTCACTGACCACTATGCCTTGGATGATCATCACGCCCTTCACCTAGCAAGGAAGATTGTGAGGAGTCTGAATTACCAGAAGAAATTGGACGTAAGTAGGATGTGTTCTTCTGTCTCCACCCAAAAGTCATTTCGGTTTATGCCATCTGAACCGTGTCTTGCAGCAGGTTAACACAATTGTTCTCAATATCTGTAGGTTACTGTTGAGCCTTCCGAAGAGCCTTTGTTTCCTGCTGATGAGTTGTACGGCATAGTTGGTGCTAACCTGAAGAGGAGCTTTGATATCCGAGAGGTGCATGAGGGTTGTGAGCTTGCTGCCAGTTGGAGCTAAAGGTTACTGTGATGCAGGCCTGAGTGGGGACGGCTGTGCGACATGCATGGGAAGACGGCTTTCCATGGGGGAGGCACCCGTGGTGCACAGCAAATGTGGTTCACAGAGAAGAGGGGGAAGTTCTTTTTTTTTTTTTTAATAATAATTTCTTTTTTTAAAATATTTATTTATTTAGTGTGTGTGTGGCCAGCTCAGCCCACCAGGGGGCGTGCTGGCTGGCATGTGGTGCTGGGGGA